CAAATATTGACTAAATACGTAAAAATTACGAAAATTCGCAAATTATTTTAAGCTAGAAATTTATACAAAATTTTCTTTTTAAATCAAAGATTTGAAAATTTTTAATTATCTATAATATATCCTAGACTGACAAATCGACTCCGTCCAGAATCGTTTTTCGTATACAATGATACCTATCATTGCATTCAAATCTAACCTACCCTAGTCAGAGTTCCACCCCAACACCTAATGTACAGCAGAGCGAAATCCACTTTTTAAGATAGAATATTTATTTGTACATTATATCAAACACGAAACTCCGTGGAACTAAAACTGCTTATTAAATTTCTTAAACTAAATTTATATTAAATGTTATATTATTTAAAAAAAAGTGTTTATGGCGTAGGCCCTTTTCACAATTTTAATTTTATAAATGCCCTTCTAAGAACATATAATAATAGAGGTATAAGTCCTTTCAACATTTTTATTTCTACAAACGCCTTTTTATATATTGTTATTAGTGGTATATATCCTTTTAGCATTTTTATTTTTTACACATCTACTTATTTAAAAACATAAACATTTAAATTTTTTAAGAACAATTTTGTATCTAACTGGAGATATATTTTTCATATTACAGTGCTCAACATAAAACCTATAGACATGATGTAAACTATTAAAGTCACTGCTAATATATTTATATTTTTTACTTCTAGAACTTCTACAATAGTGTGATGGAACAGCTGGTAACATATTAATAAACTCTTCAAATGTATAATTTTTTCATGTGTTGGTGGAGATGGTGGTTCCCTAGGGATGGCAGGAACTTAGTTACTACTTATGTATTTTTAATTTTAACCAATAATTTTATATTATGTAATTCCTAAATTGATACAAGTGTTTTCTTTTTGAATAGAAAAACAACAGTCAATGAGTGGAATACGTGTTGTCCATATTTATTTATTCGGAAGGGTAAACATTTTATTTAAAATCACGATTTTCGGAATTCAGATTTTTGAAAACATGTTGACTGGGACGAAACCTAAACAGGGATTCATTCAAAACCACGGATCTACCTAAAATAAAATATGTTAAAAAATTTAGTATAGGAAATATTTCATATTGTACTATAAATACATTTCTCGTTTGTATTATAGCAACGAGTGTAGAGTAACAAGGTGTTTTATTTATGTTTATAAAAATCATTCTTCGTTAAATTTTCCCAGATAATCACATCAGAAACTTTAATTCTACCTGCACAAAATAACCGCCTGACTACCTATCGAGAAATATGTTTCAAGCGAACTTCCAAGGGTCATTATTCACCGCATACTATAGCGGTGGCAGTCGTCCGCTAGAGAATTGGTCGATTCAGGTGAGTTATAAATCCATCGAATAAAATGGGAAATTAAATTGGGATCATTGTGAATAAATGTATTATATCTATTATTTATCTATATATATATATAGACTTGTCCTGGGTGATTCATCAACGCCAAGACCAAACCACTAGGTCTAGAGACTTGACATTTTGTATACAGGTTCCTCAAGCAATGTAGAGGAAAACTAAGAAAAGATTTTTCAAAATTCGCATTTTAAAGAGGGTTGCTCAAACGGGGATTTAGAGATTTACGATGGAAATTTTGTTTATAAATGGTTGCTATAACAACCTGATTCACATTTATAACTTTATTATTACAGCTAATTATTATTATTATTACTATTAAATAACGCGTCTTCGTATACGCACACTTACAAAGTTTATGTACGGTAACTACGGTTTCTTCTAAATATTGAAATGCATTAAAATAACAAGGTGTTTTACTTATTATTTATGAATATTAATGCGTCTTCGTATAACCCCAGTTTATGAACGGTTTTTTAAGTGTATTAAATACAATTTTTTACATTCTTACAAATTAATAAAAAATAATTAGTATGGTTGTCGACAGTGGCGGATTAACGTATAGGCCAAGTAGGCCCGGGCCTAGGGGCGACTTAATTTTAAATTATAAAAAGGGCGCTGTCTACGACGTCCAATACAAGTGAAAAAAATACGAAGTTGACGTTCCTTAGCAATAATAATTTATTTTTTTGTTTTTGGTTATATTGGCAACATTTTATTATTTTTGTTACTATTTTTCTGGTTGTCCGGCGACGCTGATTGTGGCATTAATCCAACAAAGACGTTGTAGACAATAATATTTTTGTTCAGCAAATCAGCAATTTCGTTTTCTAGGTTTGAATTCGACTTGACATGTGCTTGTTTTCAATTTTGTGAATTTATTTATATTTATATATATATATATATATATATATTATCACATATTTATTTCATTTTTTTAAAATAAGTATAACTATTTCTTAATATTTACTTTACAATTATTGTGGAATGCAATAATGCACTAGATAATCAACAAGCTATTTATAAACACTGTAAAATTATTGCTTTGAAATGTTGGTTTGAATTGGSCTTGGTTAAAGATTTTGCATTTTAAGGTATTTGCAAAAAGTAGTTATTTTGCTATTTATACCTATATTTATGCTTTTTTTTCGACATAATTCATCATTATATTATTTCAAAATCATTACAATATTGATTTAATTTTTTAGTTGTATTGAAATGTAGAAAAGTTAGTGAAATTAATTAACTGATTTACAAAAAATCTATTTTTAATTTTATTCTTATATAATATCACTAGGTAATAAGTATAATTTAACATTTGCTACATAAATGTATTATTATCGTTACAAAATTATTAAATGATTATTTAAAATTTAATAGGTACCTAATTTAATTTAGCACAGAACTGCTATTAAAATAGTTTTTTAATATTTTTTTATATAATTTTAATTCATAATATTTGTTCAATACATTTCAATCAAATTGTTTCAATTATAAATATTAATTTTATTTAATATTTATTAGGACTTTGGTATACTTTATTCTGTATATATTGTCGAATTATTGAATAATGAACATAAATAGTAAAATTTTGTTCCTCACTATTATTTAAATTATTGGTGACGAAGTTTGCCTGTGTAGGGCAATATCTTTTKTGTTATATGTGTAGCGTCCCAGCATACAGGAGGACAAGCGACTGGTGATGAGGTAGATGGATTGAGTGTAATAAGTATAACAACTTGATTTGTGATTAATTATTATRTATTTATTTGATTACTATGTAAATAAAACACTTTTACTGCACAAAATGGTTTAATTCAAAATACTCTAAGTCCAAATGATTAATTTAGAATGGTGTGTGGCATGAAGGTGCTTGCACTGACTCTGGTGGCTCACGTCTGAATTGGGTCTAATCTGGGCTCTCCTATATAGTCCTACTCCCTGCGTTTCCTCTCCTATCGATAAGATAAGTATGTGTCCATGGCCGAGTCGCGCAAAGGCGTACGCGTGTAATTTTATGATATCGCAGCTTCTCACGCTCGTGCGATCGGTCGGTCCATTTAGCATTTCGTAGAATTAAATTTAACGATGCCGATACTACGATTTCATCTCAGGTTTCATAGTTAACATTTCGTAGAAATAAACTTTACGATACTATTTGAAGAAGATATTAATTAATTAACGATGCCGATATTCCGAGAAATTTAGTAGTTTGGCCTTCGACACATCTATTGATGTCCTACATAACATAACTGGTTGGCGAAATCGTACGCCCCAGGGACACTTACGTACATCTACGTGTATATGCGGTTTTATGTGTTTTAGCGGGACGTCAGCACATAGCATATGACACTCAAGATAATGCCTAAGAAATCCGTAAAAAGTTAGTAATGTATGTGGTAAAACACTGGGATTCAATAATGTTACACGATACTGATGGAAATAATTAACGTTGTTCTGCCGACTATATGTTAAAATTTAATACTTATGGAGGTTTATGTGAGCAGGTGACAGCCAGGCAATTATTTTTGGTATTTATTGAGGTGTGCCTCAATTGTGAACTGTATGAAAAATTCGTTTCAGAAAGAAACCCCGAGATTTAGTTTAAGTTAATTTGGGCATTTTGATGTTTATTTACCACATGAAGATGAATTGACTAAATCTGATCTGATGATTTTGATAACATACCCCGCTCTCAGAAGCATTCTAAAAAACGGCGGATAAGATTTACAATATCAGAAAAAACAGTTTATAGAATCTGCTACTAAATATCAGCTAAAAAAGTGAGAAGTTCATAAAGTAGCAGCGGCAAACAATAAAAAAAAAAAAATAAGTAAATAGGGTACAAGGTCATAGATATGAAAAAAATAATCCAGGAGGATGATTAGAAAGGCAAATCCTTCCATGGAAAATAAAAGCTTTTTCCGTCATGAAATATTAATCGGAAATAGATTACGATTAAAACTATATCTATGAGTTATAAATGCGTATACTGCGACGCTCTAATAAAATTCAAAGAAGAGGTGCCTGGAATGTGTTGTAGTGCGGGTAAAGTACAACTTCCGCAATTTTTGACTCTTCCTGAACCTCTTTATAGTTTGATTATGGGGTTCTATCCTGATCACAAAATTTTCATGGACCGTATTATAAAATACAATAACTACTTCCAAATAACATCTTTTGGATTAGAACAAATGATCGAAGATGGATTTATGCATACATTCAAATTGAAAGGTCAGGTGTCTCATTTAATTGGTAGTTTGCGAGCTTTAACTCAACAAAACCCTCAATTTCTACAGATTTATTTCGTTGGAGATGATTAGAGAGAAACACGCTTAAAATGTAGTAACTTCGCTGATGTAAAGCAAAGCCTGGTATCACAATTACAAGCAATGTTGCAACATAATAACCCATACATAAAGAACTTTAAAACCACACTCGAAAGAGTACCTCAAAATAGTAAAAACTTTGAGATTATAATACACGCTGATAGAAAACCTGATGATGCTCAAAGARGACGTTATTATGCACGAACAGCAAGCGAAGTATCATTGGTCATAGTTGGACAACAGTTCGAAAAATGAGATATTGTGTTACAAAGTCATTATAACAAATTGCAACATATCAACGTTGACCACGAAAAGCCACGCCTAAACCAGATAACGTTTTTACAGTATCGAAAAGAATATTTAAAATTGTGATCTATTTCTTAGCTTCTTCACTGATCTGTTTATTAAGTTTAAGATGAATATCCGATTTTTGAAGAAATGTTGCAGTAGCAACTGCATTATTGAGGTGCACTTTACTTAACCCATGTCTCATAGATGATTGATAAAAGTGTTTCGAGGTTGTAAAACCAGTGTACCACTTACTTCTCTACGCAGCTTCATCTCCGAATAATCAACAATAGTGACAATACGCATAATGTTTTGAAGGTGAATAAGACAACCAAGGACTTTTGCTGTCTCCAACAAGTGGCTTCTTTTTGTTTATATAATTCCACAATGAGCAAAAACGACGTTTGTCATTGGACAGTTTAAATTACTTACCTAATAAATCACATTATTTTGGTTGACAGGGACTTGCTAATAAAAGAGCCCTGATTTTGTCTTCGTTTAATTTAAAAAAAATGTTCATAAAGACCTTTATAATTTTCAAATCTGGGAAATGTAGATGGTAATATTGTTAACTCATTAATGGCTCCTTCACACGAAGCCACTCGGCAGCGCTACTTAGAAGCGCGTCAGTAGCGCTGCGAATATTTTTAGAAGCGCGTCAGTGGCGCTCCTAATGTTTTTAAAAGTGCGTCAGTGGCGCTGCTAATGTTTTTAAAAGCGCGTTAGTGGTGCTGCGAAAGTGTATCGGTAGACTATTTGTGAACACGAGAGCACTACATCATTTTCAAAATGGACGTGGAAACTGAACTATTGTTGGCGATGCYATTAATTAAAAAAAAAGAAACGTAAAAATACACCGAGAAGATTCTGGGTGAATCCATTGCTTCTAGAAAGACTGAACAAAGGATTATTTTATACACTGTTTGATTACTTGGAAGGAGATGATGAAAAATTCTTCTCATATTTTCGTATGTCGAAGAATACATTTATAGAACATTTATCTGGTATCAAAAATAATATAACGAAACAAGATACTGTCATGAGGAAGTCCATTCCTCCGAATGAAAAACTAGCTTTAACTCTGAGGTAAGAATAATAAATCTACAATATAAGTATCATGATTTATTATAAGAAATATACTTAACATTTGTTTGAAAACAAATGAAATATCTTTTCAAAATAAATATAAATATATCTAAACAAGATTTTATATTAAATAAAAAACTGTAATAAAAAAATTAACTTAAATTAAATACCTTTTTTAATTCTTATAAACTAAAAAACAATTGTTAACATACTTTTAGAGAGTTACTTTTAATTGCTATATACATCATTAGATAAATCGCTTTGAAC